GTACAAGAAAAATTGCTGTTAGAGACATCTCCACTCTCGTGTTCCTAGACCACTATATCATCTCCACAACCGAATGAATCGTTCAGTCACTTCGGCCTTTCTTTCAACTGAAAAGACAAATATCAGTCTGCATCCCTAGAACGAATAAATCCTCTGTTACTTGCTGCCCCGTCACATTCTCTCTCTGGCAGTAACACATCGGTATACCTTAAAGAATATGGATAAATTAGTTCACTCCTATGTACGCAAATGGCTGCGACTCTCCAAGGGTACATCGTTTGTCCACTTTCACTCTGCTGCCGAAGGCTTTGGCGTCGGTATACGGTCTTTGGCAAACAAAGCATCAGTAGTACGCCGGTACGCAGTAGCGATGTTTCGCTGCAGCGCAAACACCACCGGTGGCACAAAGGCTAATGATATGGCGATGGTCTCTCTGTCCCTACGCCATCGGATTACGCCTTCTATGTATCGCAAACGTGCCGACCTCAAATGCCTTACTTAAAACATAGATCATCATTATTACACAGGTGGAGAACACCTCAGCTGATGCCGCAATATAAAAGAAAAAGTGAAACAGAGGAATGCCGGCTGAGTCACCAATAACGGATGGACTTCGTTCCGTAGAGCTAACAGCCGTCTATTATGCCGCAGTCATTTAATACTTATTCATTGAGATCGTCCTTGGTGGGGGAGGCTAAGCGGAGGGGGATAGACAAAGGAACTCTCAACACAAACGGCATTGTGGTTTGCTCCTAGCGATGTCAACAAGTATATCCAGCCAAACGTGTTCATTTTCTTTTGGACCCCAACCATAAAGCCGAGAGGCCCCAACCGAGGCCAGCTTCGAAGTAAGGGCCATCATTCATCTTAACCAAGTCATCGTTTTGCCACCCTTTCTCTTCTTCCCTGCCCCTCCCCCGACGCGCAAACAACGCACTTCGCGGATGTCGGTGGGCTGGCATACGGAACACGTGGCCCAGCTATCAGAGCCTGGTGCGTGAAATAACGGTGCTGAGTGGTTCAGTTCCTTCTCCTCTGCCGTGAACAAGGCGTCGAACTCGCTCATTGCCCACACCATCTTCCCACAGATATGAGCCAAATTGCGAAGGCACTGATGGTTGAAGGTAACTAGCCTCTTTATGTCAGCTGATCTAAGGGCGAGGTTCCACAACCGTACGGTAGGGTCCTACGTACGGCTGCATTGTATACTCTACCTTTCAGGGCGAGGGTGATGTCGCACCGGCGCCATAAGTGGCGAAGGTTAGCAAAAGCGCCTCGAGCTGTCAAAGCAGATTTTAAGTCAAGAAGTCGTTCTGCTGCGAGCACCATCACACCTAAGTCGTGTCTTGTGAACGCCATTTCCACGACTTCATCAGTAGAAAATTTGAAATAGTAGGGTGGCAGAGGGCATCCTTCTCTTACGCCGCTGTATATATTGTAGGACAGCGACAGCTTACTGTAGGCCCTCAGTCTGCTCTAGCTGCGCGCTTATTGCGCTCGCGTAACATTTACATACTTCTCGGGCACACCTTTCCTTAACAGACAGTTCCAAAGGGCACATCAATCCACTGAATCTAAGGCACATTTGATGTCGGGGAACATGACAACGGTGGATCGCCAATATATGTGACGGTGCTTTAACAACTGACCAATGCAAAGGGTCAAAGACACCGAAAATGGAACACCCTCTTGTGAGAGGACAAAACGAGGCACATGGGATACGATTTCCTTGGTTTATAAAGTTCTTATACACATTGACGTTGAACTTGTTAATATGGAAATCTCATTAGTTGAACCAAGGTCACGACCTTGCGATAAGCGAACCAGCTTAGAGCCGGAATGCTGGACTTCGTATCTGACCGATCTCTTAGGTGCCTGCGTCCCTGAACAACTTTGGCATCGGTATACCGTCTTTGGCAAGCAAAGCATCAGTAGTACGCCGGCACCCAGTACCGACGCTTCACTGTCACGCAACCACCACCAGTTGAACGTTGGCTAATTATACTGCGAGGATCGCCCGTTCCGTACGCAGGGTCGAATTTGCGCCATCGGATTACAAGGCTGGCTTGCGATCCTTAGAGCTACGGGCTACATTGCTACCTGTGACGCATACCGCTTTGAACGAACATACCAACGAAAACTAGACATATGTGTTTTCGGTCCGCATGCATTGGCCATACTTTCTGCAGTCCTGTGATTTTGTACCATCGTGGATGTATTTGTCTGCTTTGACGAGACATCTCAATTCCCTGGGTCTTTGGCGGTCCGATATTTCGTATCTGTGTGACTCCCATATTTTCTGGACGCAATATGTATGACACGTATATTTTCGGAGTCTCATACATACAGCTTAAACGCAACGCACAATCAATCTAACAAAGATGGTGTTCGATTCCGCGTGCTTTTTAAATTTCTTTACTTTGGACCACTGTCTCCGTATCTTTCCGGGACGTTGTCTGACCTTAGCACTTTGCTGTAAGAACCGACCTTGAGCTATAAACACCAATTACCCAAATCGGTGTCATTAGTTGAGGTACTGTGAAAGCTGTCTTCTTAAACTCAAGACATCTGTGGCATCTGAAAAAGGTTTCTCAGTCTTAACGTTCGTGTGTATGAGGCAATAGTGTTTGGCGTTGTAATCTATAAGAGTGAGATATGACCCCTTCGTTCTGATGATCTAAGGCATCTTCAATTTTTTAACCATCGTTGTTTACGGATCATTGCTGGTGTCGGATGACACCAGGGTGTCCGTAACGATGATGTGCACGAGTGGGTTCTAGGCAGATATAGCCAGACTAGTACTTTAGATCTATATTCAATAGCTTGAGTTGATTTGGGCACGTGTTACGTACGCCCAGTCACCGCTTGCCTTTGGAAATCCTGTTTTTGCTGCCGGCTGTCGGATGACGCAAGGATCGAGCTGCGCAAAATTTGAATTGACAAAGGGAAATGAAATCACTGACTACTATACTGATTGGCATTGGTGCCTCTCGCTTTCCCGGTTTGAGCGCATGTAACACCTTGTGTTTGACTTTAGGCTACTGGACGTAGCTGGTAGTTACCATCTGTGGCGCAGTTACATTTTTCTTCTAGTCGGATTGTCTGTTTAACTGGTGCTGCGTTATCTGCGGAGTAATGGCTGATTATGACATTGACAGTTAAAGCCTTAAGGATGCTACTTCACCGATGCCGCTTTCTCCTAACACATTATCCAGTTGTTCGTGACCGTGTGTTTAACATGATGTAAGCGCCGTGACTATTTGTTTAGATCATTTAGCTACATCTGCGTTCTCGATTCTCCACTTGTGTTTCCTCATTCCCTATCTCATCATGGTAGTAGGACAGCGAATTTATTCAGTTGCTTGATGATGAAGGTGGTGATGAGGATGCTGATGCTTTACGCACAGGGCCATGGTATGGATCAGAGGCCGGGACGCTGCGCACGGAAGGCTATGTTTCACCTCAGCTGAAATGTTTTATTTACATTTGATGTGATAACCGGGTGATTGCTATTGAAGTTTGTCATTTGGTGTTTGACAACAAGTTTCGAGACCTCGACGAAGTGCCTGTTGGGCTTGTGTAGCCTACGGTGTTCTGTATGTTTAAAGGCTGGTGGACTCGACTTGTTTGTCTATAAGTATTGTGCCCATTTTTATTAAGCCTCTAAGTAGTCAGACAATGGCATGGCGACTTCGCATGGAGTAACTCATCGAATAGGGTCATCGTAAGCGTCCATCTCAGCGGTTGTACACCTTATCGGATGCGACGCAGTCACGAAGGCATTGGCGCACTTGCATTCAACCTCTCACATCAGTTCCTTCCTTATTCCATCTGGCGATTTTGATGACTTTTTCTATAGTCATGACTCCTAAAATTCGACTTTCTTTGGCGTCACTTTGATGCTTGCTTATGAATAAAATGCAGACTGCGATCAGGCTAATATTACTTTCCGGTCCAGGAACATGGCCACCTCGTATTCATAACATGAAGAGCTTGTCGACTTGGATCACCGTCGTTTACCGTTTGTTCACAACTATGAGGGACCGAGGAATCAATACTGAAGTCCCCAAGTTGTTCATGTCTGTTGAGTCTTGGCTACTTGCCTTAGACCATCTCTGCCGTTGCACTATGTGCAGTCGTCACCTATGAACAAACTCTCTACATGGTTGTTCAACAGTTTGACACCTAGGTTTCTAGAAATTGTCTGAGAAACTTCGTTGTGAATAGGCGTCTCAAACCTGCTATATTAGGGGTTGGAGAAATCGGACGGCTCAGTTTCGGAGTCGGTAGTACTCTGCATTCGGTTTCTTGCACTTGAATGTCTACATTCTTACCCGATTAGTATTGCCTATTCTTCAATCTGCGTTCTAGCTTAATTTTCCCGTCATTGTTAATTATCGCTCTAGCGGTGCGAGACGAGATAGATGACTTTACCGTACTTCGGCGCTCGGCTTTTTAACTGTTTGCATTGAACTCTCCACTGATTTAGCGAGAAGGCGTGAAAACTTGATCACGGGTCTTGTTCTGTCCAACGTTTGTCGCTCTGATAGCGTTTCGCGACTGTCCACAGCGGTATTTGAAGACTCTGATATAATTTACTTCCTATTTATTCAGACTTCCATCTGACACTTTCTTTTAGCTACTTAATTTGTATTGTTCTGCTTGAGTTTGTTTTACTCGCATCAGTTTTCGACCGATCTTGTTTTTCTCATAGTCGTGCACATCAAATCCACTTGGTTCGCTATTCGTTTTCTTACTTTGACAGTTGTTGGATTAAACTGAGCCAGTACCCGGATGTTGGTATTGAATACACAGTTTTCTGCAATATGCGATATGCATTTTGACATTCTGTTTAATATTTGCTAATCGTCACCTTTAAATATACTGCGATTAGGACTACTTCTAAGTGCAAGTCGTGCCACCGTTTACTTCTTTTGACTCATCAATTTGAGCATACGGCTTTCTTCATGACCATTATATGTTATCCATTGTTCATTTAGCATGCAAATCAGGATGTGGAGAAGATGCTACTTGGGAACAAGTGCGATGCAGTGGACCAACGACAGGTTACAACTGAGGAAGCAAAGGAGGTAAGCACTCTAAACTGTATTTGTATTGCTCAGCTTTTAGTGTTTATGATTGACCATCACAACGAGACTGGGCCTCGATGGGCTGTTTTATTTTACAGGTTTCCGGGATCTCCAATAAACTACAGGGAGTTTTACTTGCAGACGTCTTCGGAGCTATTCTTCTCAGCAGACCAGTGGTTATTGGTTAGGCAGACGTAGTTTGTTTGTCCTTCTCATCTGGTGTTTAGCAAAAGTCAGTGGCTTTCTTCCTCAAAATTCTAACGACAGGCGGCAATGTAGAGCTTCGAACTCGGATCGACTGGCGTGGAACAGGAATGTTGCGGACTGCATCCAACTGGGAGAGTGCCACTCTTACTCTAGTCTGCTATCGTTTGTTTCCAGTCAGGTTGCCTCTGGTCAAACAGATACCATCTGACTGGTGAAATCTGCTCTAGACTACGATAACAGGCGCATCCTGTTAAACGAACATGCATACGTCGTTGTAGCTCCTTTGTGGAGTACGGCTCATCTCAAATTGATCCCAGGTGGACTCTACGACCACACCCTCGAGTTGGACTTACTGAGCACTACTTTGTGCTATTGAATCAAGAGCTGGACTAGGGAAGTGTCAAAGAATACCTCTTTTAATGGACACCGTAGTATATTGTCTTCCCTTACAATATTTTCTTCATATTTTCTTCACCTTCTCCGAATGTTAACCGGGGTAGCTTCATCGGACACACTAAGGGGCTAGGACATTTTCCAAATCCGATGTGCCATTCCACATTTAGTTATTCACTATTTTCGCACACTATCTGCTCGGATAACACGTGACTCCTATGAGCTTGCATTCTTTCACAGCTAATATGAGCCGCAAGAATTACGTACTAGCCTTGTAATGGAGGGGTCACCGGTTCGATTCTTCGTAGATGCGGGTGACCTTGGGGTATACCCGATGGGATCACCGCGTGGGTAATGGGCGCTTTCGGCGTCGTGTATTTAGTGCAGGAAGCGCGAATGAACCGCTCAACACCGTTACCTCACGCACAAGGCTCCGATGGCTAGGCCACGTGTTGCGCATGCCAACTCACCGACTCTCGCGACTTACGTTACTTGCGCGCTGGTGGTGTGGATGGACGAAGAGGTGAGGAAGCCAAGCGATGACTTGATCGAGAGCAATGAAGTCCCTCCCTTCGAAGTTGGCGTCGGTTGGTGTTCCTGGATTGCCATGCTGGGGACCGAAGCGTTTTGTTGCGTACACTATGTGACATGGCGAAGAGTCGACCTCAGTGACGTTTGCGTTGTGAGTTTTTTTTACCCTTCCCATTGGCTTCCCCCTCCAACAACCATCAGAAATGTGATGTTAGCATTATGTTACTTTTTCATAGCTTTTATACTGCTTACATTGCTTAATGTCTTACATTTTTTTATATTGCGGCACATTAACTGAAGTGTGTTTCTCACCCTCGGCAAATGTGTATTGACGTTGATGATACCCAGCTAACTCAGTTTCATGAATTAGAGAGAGATAGAGGACACTTCATTTAAAACGTAGCCAGAGGCGACAACGAGTGAATTGTTATAAGACCACAGCTTGTTTATTGTAGAGCACGAGTACTACTCCTTACTTCTGAAGACGGAAGAGCACCGTTTGGTGCTCATTGGTTTTTCACCGCCAGCCTCTTTCCAAGCAGTCCCCGGTCAAACGGATGCAAACCCACCGACTCCCACCTGCAGTTTGTTGTGGTCGCTAGTGCGTAGCATAATACGATCGAGAAACTCATGTGAATTGTTGTAAATCTTCATTTACTACGTATGACAAGTTCGAGCGGATCCCAATGGATCTCTGCTATCACAACCCCTAACTGGACTTGCTCCTCACTGTTTTCTGAGTCAAGCTATTGAGCTAAAGGCTCCGGGTAGTTCTTCAAGCACACCTCCATGTACCCCACTGTCTTGTGGGTCAAGCTGTTGAGTCATAGCCGAGGTAGGGCACCTTTAACAAAACGTATTTAAATGGGTAGCCGGAGAGTATCATTTGTTCCTGATCCCACTGGGAACATTTCTTCTTTCTCTTGCAACTCTTTTCCATCTATTTAACAAATGACTGCTGCTGACCTCGCAACTGCTGCTATTAATACATGTAACTCATCATTCAAAAAAAATGATCTTATTTCACATTGGTCCATTTAATGTCCGGGTTTTGGTTCTACTCAGACAACAGGCAGCGCCAACTCTTTCTTCGCTTACCTTTTTTGATGTGTGTCCTGTCTCTGTGTGGTATCCGAAAATGCAGGGAACCGAAGTCTTAAACGATTATATGGACACAAAAGAATCTTGAACAACAGTTTCAGTGTAAGGCGACTTGCTTATTAACTTGAAGCGGATTCAGCCAATCAGAGGTGAGGACGCGCCTAGTTTAATGAACGTTAATAGTTCACAAAGTATCAAAACAATCAATGACATGGGTGCAGCAATTTGGCCAACTGAACCTTAGGGAATGTGGATACGACATTATCCCCTCCTTTGCTTAAAGCAGTGTATACAGTTCTTGTAAATACACCGGAATATATGAACGACAAAATGCGCCGTTTAGCTTTACACACTGAAGTATAACGGCATACAGAATGATGCAACTAGGTCTGATCGTCGCAGGTTTACATTTGTTTGTGACATACAGTGCACCGCGGAAGTGTTTGCCTGCTCAGACATATGTTGTGAAAAAGCTGTATGCAACCGTCTTGCATTCACTGTTGTCCCATCTCTCAGCTTGTAGGTGAGCACTGATTTAACAAAAGTCGGGGGTCCGATTGTCCTAGCTCCTTTCCGAGTAAAAGGTAGTGCCTCACGAACGAATGTCCCTGCTGGGTAGGTTCTCCCTATTCGTCGGTATTTAGCTTGGTAAGCTACGTTTAACCGAGGTCATATTGTTCTCCCTTGCATTAATTCGGATGGCGTTTTCATTGTTGCAGTATGTTGTATGGTTGTTGCTACATCCAAAACAGACACCAGCGCATCGTCCCAATATGCTGCCGAAAGCTGATGAATTGGCAGACACCTTCCAAGTACGGTTTTTGTAGTTCAGCGGGACCATTTGCGGCAGTATTGTGCGGCACCATTCTTGAATATCGGATACCATTGCGTCTGAAGAATTCGGCATACTCATTGCGTCGAAACTTAGGCCCGTTGTTATTGACTATTTTTTCGGGCAAACCAAATCTTCGAACAAGCAACGGAGCCATTTAATAATGGCACTTGTAGTGACGTCCTCACACACAATATCGTCGGGCCATTTACTGTAGAGGCAAGTAGTAACTAGCACATTTCTTTTCGTTGGAGATACATTGGCGAATGGGCCCATGTTATCAATAGCACTTTTTACCTATGGACCCAATGGATATTCGATGGGTTGGATTGAAGCGTCCAGTGGCCGTGTAACTTCAGCAGATGACTGGCAGGCCTAGCTTTCCCGCACCATGGTCTCTACCCTGACATTCAAATTCGGCCACCAGCAGTATTGATGTATCCGGGATTTTGTTCGCTCAGTTCCCTTTATGGCCTTCTTGTGCGGATTCAGACACTACCGGAATAAGTGTTCCATGTATAACAAGCTCTTTACCTCTCACAATACACTTGCTAACAGAAAACAGCTTGTGTCGATGTGTGTAAAACGGGAGTAACTCAGGCTGAATTCTCACACGGTTTGGTCATGAATTTCCTAAGTATTAATGAAGTTTACTAGGATGGTCAAGTGTTATAGCCGAGGAGACTTCTTTTGTAAAGTGGCATATCATCTCTACCTCATCCACTTCCTCATTCTCCCGTTTGATAGCGGTGGTCTTGAAAGAGCATCCTCAACCTGGTTCGAACAACCTGCAACGTATTTGATTTCATAATCATAGTTTATGGACGCGTGAAAACCAACAGCTTAGCCTCACCAGCTTTCGACCCTTGTTACCACAGCTAATTAGGGTTGTAAGTGTAAAATGATCGGTGCACAAGTAGAAATGCCATTTCTCACATGCCCAAACGCTCGCGAGGGCCTCCTTTTCACCAGTGGAATAATTTCTTTCGGTGGCCGACAGATTGTGTGAAGCGTCATCATCATACAGCTGGAACAAAACTGCGCCTAACCCATCATCTGAGGCACCCAATGAAACAAAAGTTAGCCAGTTTTCACTAAAGAACGCAACCGTAGCCCGTATGGTCAGATAGACATTTTCTTGTTTAGCGACAAATTAGAATTCCTCATTTTGGCGCGTCAGCTTCCGCAGACGCTCAGCATTAATCCCAAATTTCGGTAAATGTCGTAATCATAGGAACTCACAACCAAGGATATTTTTAATTATAGCCACTTGAGGTTCATTACAGTCAACTTCCAAATCAGATAGTCGTCCACATGCCCGGAAAAGCATTAGACTGCAGTTTCAACCTGTTGGGCATCATCAGTAGTACGCATCCATCGGATCCATCAGGACTCGAACCCGAGACCACCAGCGACTTGCACCGCCAGTCATCAGCTTATGCCACTGGGCCACGGGGGACAGCTTCGGACCGTCATGATTTACAAGCTAACTGTGATATAGCGCGTCTTATCCTCCACTGTCATGCAAGTTACGAAGGTTGCAGACGACAGGGTTGGCCCCGCAAGACACGACGTTTACTATCAGTAGCTATGTACGACGCCGCATTTGGAAACTGTTAGAAAGGATATATTTTGATGTACTCATTTTTAATTATGGTACATTGGACGACTTCAGACAGTCAATAATGGTTCTGGTATTTTGCTTCTCCGGCCTTATGTCGTAAGTGGAAGTGATATGCCCAACAATTTCTACTTCCGTGATCACGAACTAGCACTTTCTGGTATTCCGGAAAATCTTTAAGACAAAGCCTTTGAAATACGTTGCTAAGGTTTTTCATATTCAACGGTATTACAAGCTCTTGTGGTGTTTAATGAAGAACCAGGTGACCCGGAGACGTACAGCTCTACCGAACTAACCAGTAGTCAGTTCATTGCG